TTCACCTTTTTATTTATTTAACAGACCCTCGCACTTTATGCGCAGCCGTGGGGAGAGCAAAGGATTTTGGGTGTTAAAGCCAAGGGCCAGGATCGAATTTAGGGTGCTAACCTGAATCCCTAGAAAGTAGGAAATTAGAGGTAGATAGTACGATAAATATGTGGTCGTTAGAAATGAGTGCGGGTAGTAAATAGGACCGTAGCGCAGAAATAGGACGGCTTGAAACCCACAGAACAACCTTGCTTTCCGTCGATTTCCTCGCTGAATGAGTCTCAGAGACGTTGACGTCATGATTCTGCTTTGCTCTGCCTCTCTACCGCAACGGCTAGAGTCCGACTGTCAGATACCAGCGGGCAGAGGCACAAAGACGCTCAAAGATACGAAGTAAGCCTTATTTTATCACTACGGGCGTACGCTTCATCGCGGAAGCGCCACAATCGCTTCCTTAGGGACCAAATTACCTTTTATAGTAGGCACATTTAAATTTCCTTCACATCCGATTATCGTGCCACCTTCCTTTAAATTTTCTCAATTTTTTTTTCTCGAGACGGTAGTGCTGTGCCAACTCAGTGCATTTGTTATTTACTATGTGACCATGCAAATACCTATCATTTGTGAATTTCCAGTGTCAAGATTAGTAACAGCAATCTTGTTTCACACAAGTACCCACAACTTGTCATCACGATTAGTAGTTCCATGCAGACTAGTGCCACTCGTTCTCCATCGTAACCTACTCGGCGCCTTCATAGTTGTGAAAGCTGTAGTAGTAGAAGGCGTAGTTGTTGTACTTGTAGTTGTCGTTGTAGAAGTAGAAATGGACGTAGTAGTAGTATAGAAGGTGGTAGTTGACGGTGTCGTGGTTTCAGAAGGGGTGGGGACAGGAGGGAGTGTTGTGATTATACTAGCTAAATTTTTAACGAACCCTAACCATTATTCACTTCAATAAGAAATAAAGACAAAAACTGAAATCATTTCGAATATGCAGAACTCACTTTGCGGTGCTGGAGTCGTAGCTGAAAATAGGTATATTGATTGATAAAAAGTGAAACTGAAACGGTGCTAACTTAGTTGGGGGGGGACCACGCGGCGGCGCGGCGCTTTGCTCGCCTGGCGCTCTCTCGAGCGAGATAGTGTGAACTCGCGGACCTGCCGCGCGCCGCGGCGGGAGTGCCTCCCCCATCTACGTTAGCACTTTTTTCACGTATTCTGACTCTTCGCTTGAAAAATGATCTCACGCATTCATAAACGAGGAAAACAAAATTAGAAAGTAGAGCCCCAAACTTTTTATAATAAAATTGTGATTTTTTTAGTAATAGTACTGACTAGGTAAGGAAATCGTTTTGTTCAGATCATCAATCCACAGTTTCCGGATTTCCACTGGCTCCTTTCCAATACAGTATGGCGTCTGAAAAAAAAGGTTGTTAACACCTGAATGATTTGCGTTTTTGTGTATCCTAACATGCAGAACGACATTTCATGATGGATGACGTCACCGACGTCAACTTTCACGATGGATGGTGCAATGGGAGCCATGAGGGCCTGAGAAGCTTTCTGTCCGGAACGATAGCAACTCCTCAACAAGGAACAGTTCTGAAGTGAATCCTAGGCCGATGTCAGACTTTGCGAATCGCGCGATTCGCTAGCGTCCGCGGTCGCGTTGCGGTACCAGCCAATTGATTCACTGGCCGCGACGCGACCGCAGACGCTAGCGAATCGCGCGATTCGCAAAGTCTGACATCGGCCTAAGGCAGCAAGGTCAACCGTCATGCTGGGAAATCGAGGTCCCTTGTCCTGGAGGGATCCCGCAACGCGACTCCCCCTCGCCATTAGTTGGTGCTGTCGACAGTTTCCTTCAACCTGCCAAACTTTTTTCCCACTCTGCAACTCCGTTCCCAACTCTAAGCAAGAGTCGAGTTTGGTGGGGGGGACATATATAGCTTTTAGAACAACAAGGCCCACAAAATTTCGTTTTGACTACTCCCAGTGAAAAAAGCAACCTTTCCCACTGAAGACGACCTCTTGGAATTCAAATACTCTAATACACCCACCCCCCCCTCCCGTTTGAACGATAGAACTCTGCCATAAGGGAGCTGTTCGCTATTGAAGAGCTACTCAATCCGTACAGAAGGCTGTATTCATCATTTTACATAAGTGTTGTCTAGGTGTTTCACATGGCATATAACAACTTAGTGCCTTCCGGATTATGCCTTTTCTCGCAACTATCACCCTACTGAAGCGTGGCTTATTTTCTAAACCTGAAAATGAGAGATTCCTTGAAAGACTCAAGCTGTGCCTGTCGGCAGCGCTAGTGAGTATAAAAACGATTATTTGGAGGCAGAGCTGACGATGAGGAGACAACTCGGCATTAAGAAAAGAAAACAAGTCGCGGTGGTCAGTGGTCGGCAGGGTATGAAGGAAAAAATCCATGAGAAGTTGGCCACAACTCGAAAAAAAGTGTGGGACGATCCTTCCTCGCCCGTTGATTCCTTGTACGCTGCTCATCGATCGGCTGCCTCTCACAGCACTCAGCTTTTTGCTAATCGGCAGAGCAGACGGTGAAGGGTGTGGCGGGCAGCGGCGATAGCGCGCGGGGACTGGTTCTCTAGATAGCTGTGGCCTATCTACCGCGAATGCGTGTTGATGCCATACACTAGCGGTTCGCTGCGTCTTTTCGGCTGCGATAACTTCCGCCTTCTGACTTGCGTACGTGTGCCTTTAAGGCAGAAACCGCTAACACAAAGTAAGCCCAAAATAACGCCAACCGGGTATTAAGGCTCGCTGCAACACATCAGACCCCAACATTGGGCTCTTATTCATAACATAGGCCGAGCACTCAAACATGTCAGAGGTCCAGCTGCCTCTAGGCTAGGTACACTTCCCCTTCTTCAATATTGCGATATTTGAGCGTATCGCTAATACCTCGTTATTGATTCGGCCAGAACTTCTTATTTATTCGCAACTTTTCATTCTGCGTCTGTGGAACTATTTGGATGAGTAGTTCCCATGGTATTCCTCGAGGCTAAAGATGAGCTTACGTCTTGCAGTTCTGCAGATTCAGTCCGATTTCGGCACTTACATGGCCATTCAAGACCGCCGGGAGACGTTTCGCCTTCTTCCAGTTTGTATTCACAATAGCCATCCTCCTTGCATGACGGGCATACGTGATCAAACCAGACACTGAAAAACCATTTAAAAATCTTCACGTACCGCTTCAAATTGAACGGAATCAGAAGGAAAACCAGTAGAATCCATCGATTGTAGAAAAATAATCTTACGTTATATTGAAACATGGCCATGCAACCATCAAATCTCGATCATAAGTGCAGACACATTTCGAATTCTGAAAAATCATACGTCACATGAAGACAGGAACATAGTAGGTGGTCCTTTCGAAAATGTAAACGATTCATGCATTGAAAATTAGACAGTCGACCCAAGAACTAGCAGAAGTGCTTCCCACGAGCAGAACAAGCGTTGCTCCTGTTGGAACATTGGATAGGAAGGTGCGCCTATGAATCTCATTCACTAGATCCTTGAAATCTGGGACGGTGATCGTCTGGTCTAAACTGATAGTCAAGTTTACAGTGACTTGGGGATGGCTCACACAGAAAATGCCTTAAAACATGCATGAGGACCTCTAGGACCGGTCTAAAAGCAGGGTAAATGCTCTAGAACCTTCTTATGGTACCCCATCTTTTACACTAATTTCCTGGACGAGTTTCAACGATGCGTGAACGCTCTGCTCTGCCTCCATGCTAAAGAAGAAGAGTACGATGGCGAGAAAGAAGCAGCTGGGGTAGCCAACTAGAGGGTGGGCAGAGGCAAGAAAGCGCCTTATGGAGATGTTGAGCTCTACTACCCCCTCCCTCCCCTTTG